AATTGCCCTGGCTCTGACCCTCACAGCTCAGCCTCTCTCCTCTCCTGCTGCATCGGAGCACGGACCGCTGCTCCAATACACACCTCCGCATCCCACGGCTTTGTCCCTGAGGAAATCGTTTGTATTTATTTCCACTGGAGGTAAAAAAGAAAAGGAAAAAAAAAAAAAAGAGAGAGGAAAAAGCAATAATATAATACTTGGGGGCATACGGCGTGGTCGGAAAGGATTTAGAAATGCCCCTGAAGCATCGCTGAGCCGTGATGCTCCTTGGACACCCTTCTCCCACGGGCAGTACCCGGCCTTTGGGAGATGGGGGGAGTAGGTGGGGGGTTGGTGGCATTTTAGGACCACTGCTGTCCTGTAAACAGATGTGACGTTTGTTTAGGGAAGTGTCTCTGAAGGTGTGACAAGAGACTTTCGCGAGCCGGGGTGGGGGGTGGCAGCCACAGCAGGATTCCCTCCTCCTCACACAAGCCCTCGGTTGGGGGGGGGGTTGTCCCATTGTCCCACTGGTCCCCTCCAGCCGTGTGGGAGGTTGTCCGCAGTCTCCCGTGGGGTTTCCTTGGGCTGGAATGTTTTCTGTGGGGGGGCAGGGATAAAGGGAATGTACGGGGATCCCTGGGCAGGGGTGAAAGGGGTCCATGGGCAGGGGTGCAGGGGAGTGAAATGGGTTCCGTGGGCAGGGATGCAGGGGATTGCATCAGGGTTGCCCCAAAAGGACATCCACGAGCAGGGGTGAAGGGGAATGCAGGGGTCCATGGGCTGGACATTCCAGGGGGTCCATGAGCAGGAGTGCAGGGGGTTGAAAGTCGGTCCATGGGCAGGAATTAAGGGAGTGCAAGTGGATCCGTGGACAGGGGTGTAGGAAGGTGCAAGGGGGTCCCGGAGTGGGAACTCCAAGGCTCATCGGGGAGGAGGGTTCAGGATCTATCCCCCAGGAGGGCGGACGGGTCCATCCCTCCCCCAGCGGGGCTCCATCGGGGGGTGACGCCCAGGGGTCCCCCCTTTGCTGGACCAGGGGAGGGCTGGAGCAGGCAGGGACGGGGGCAGGGCCCCCCTCTCCATCCCTAGACCCCCGTGA